GTGAGTCGCCATATTGAATTCGCCATTTTGAAAAAGAATCGTCAAAATCTGTTAGCGGATTCGTAATCAGCGACTCAAGAAAGTTCTATATACCAATTTCTATAAAAATTCGATTAATAGAAAAATATGTGCCGCAAAGGGTTAACCAATCACAATCCATGTTTGACAAGAAAGAGACATCTTTGGGACTTTCCTCGTACAGATTATAGGTTTACATAAACTACGGTTATAAATGCGACGTGGAACGCAATGCAAGTTTAAACATGACGTTAAATGTAACAGCCGCTTAGCTAAGCTTGGATCAAACACGGATTTATGGAACTGGGCCTTAATGGAAGACCCTGTATTTCGCGATATAGTCATCTCTCTCTCTTCTCTCCCCTCTCTCTCTCTCTCTCTCTCTCTCTCTCTCCCTCTCCCTCTCTCTCTTTCTCTCTCTCTCTCTCTCTGTACGAGAGATTTTTCCACGAAGCGCTTTCGCCGCTCGGCCCGGTCGGACAAAAATGTAGCGCGCGCGCACGCGCTTTCTACGTAAATAATATAAATATCGTATTATTGTCGATCCGGTCGTGCGTTGCTGGGCCTTGGTGACACAGTCCCTACTCTGCTTCCACTTTTTGCGGGCGCAGAAAACAAGCACTATTGAATAGCGCGCATCGGTTTCACCATTCATAACAGCTGTTGTCACCACCGCGAGTTGTGCAAGTGAGAATAGCGGGGAGAAATTATTGGCGCCCGCGCACGCTCGGATGACACGAACGTGGGAAGGAAGGACTCTTTGAAGCTGGCAGAACCAAATTGGCAGAATCCAAATGCACCTATCAAATTTTTTAGTACTTATTTTGTGCTAATTTGTGCTATTAATAAAAATTTTGTACCCCGTGCCATTTTGAAAAATATCGTGGCGCTGCTACCTTCATATGAAGTCAGCAGGACCACAGCAAAAAATAATTAAAAAATAAAAACACTTACATAAATAGAAAGAGCATAATTTGTGCTAATTTACTCCATAAAAGAAAATTTGATATTTTCAAAACAAGTGGCACTTCACGCGGGTACAAAATCTGCAGTTACATATTTTAGTAGCACAAAATAAGACCTATGTAAAGCTGGCCCCTCATTATTAAAATTTGAAAAAAATGATGAGAGTTCCAGTTGCCCCCCGAAGAGTTCTAGAGTTCTCAATCGGTTTTAGAAATAGTTCTGGCGTTTTAAGCAGTCAAAAGGCAATTGAAAAAAGAGGGAGCCAACTTCACAAAATCGTCCACTTTAGCGAGCTAGAACTCTTTCATTTCCGCTCGAATCGATTCAAGTCATAAGGAAAATCGATAGAACTCTTCGGGGGGCCACCAGAACTCTAAAGAAACTAACCGATTTTCGAAAAAAAATTTTTTTTTTATTGGACTTAGAAATTTTTTTCGAAAATCGATCCGTTTCTTTAGAGTTCTAGTGGCCCTCCGAAGAGTTCTAGAGTTCCCAATCAGTTTTAGAAATAGTTCTGGCATTTTAAGCAGTCAAAAAGGCAATTGAAAAAAAGGGGGGCCAACTTCATAAAACCGTCCACTTTAGCGAGCTAACTCTTTCATTTCCGCTCAAATCGGTTCAAGTCATAAGGAAAATCGATAGAACTCTTCGGGGGACCACCAGAACTCTAAAGAAATTGGCCGATTTTCGAAAAAAAATTTTCTCTTAATTGGACTTAGAAAATTCGACATCGACGATACTTTGATGAGCTAGAACTCTTTCATTTCTGCACGAATCGGTTCAAGTCATAAGGAAAATCGATAGAACTCATCGGGGGACCATCAGAACTCTAAAGAAACTGACCCATTTTCGAAAAAAAATTTTTTCCTAATTGAACTTAGAAATTTTTTCGAAAATCGATCAGTTTCTTTAGAGTTCTGATGACCCCCCGAAGAGTTCTATCGATTTTCCTTATGACTTGAACCGATTCGAGCGGAAATGAAAGAGTTTTAGCTCGCTAAAGTGCACGGTTTTGTGAAGTTGGCCTCCCTTTTTTTCAATTGCCTTTTTGACTGCTTAAAACGCCAGAACTACTTCTAAAACCGATTGAGAACTCTAGAACTCATCGGGGGGTCACCAGAACTCTAAAGAAACTGATTGATTTTCGAAATAAATTTCTAAGTCCAATTAGGAAAAAATTTTTTTTCGAAAATCGGTTAATTTCTTTAGAGTTCTGGTAGCCCCCCGAAGAGTTCTATCGATTTTCCTTATGACTTGAATCGATTCGAGCGGAAATGAAAGAGTTCTAGTTCGCTAAAGTGGACGATTTTGTGAAGTTGGCCCCCCCTTTTTTCAATTGTCTTTTTGACTGCTTAAAACGCCAGAACTATTTCTAAAACCGATTGAGAACTCTAGAACTCTTCGGGGGGTAACTGGAACTCTCATCTTTTTTTCAAATTTTGATAATGAGGGGTCAGCTTCACATAGGTCAAAATAAGCGGTATTTATTGCAAAAATCGCGATTCTGCTCATTACAAGTGGCACTTTACTCTTGAGCATAAGCTGAGTCTGTGATGGTTTCTGAAGAAATACCGCGGGTACAAAATCTGTAATTACATATTTTAGTAGCACAAAATAAGTGGTATCTATTACAAATGTCGCGACTCGATTTTGCTGATTATATGTGGCGGCTCACGCTCAAGAGTAAAGTGCCACTTGTAATGAGCAGAATCGGGTCGCAACTTTTGCAATAAATATCGTTTATTTTGTGCTACTAAAATATGTAATTGCAGATTTGGTACCCGCGGCATTTCTTCAGAAACCATCATAGACCCAGCTTACGCTCAAGAATAAAGTACCACTTTTTTTCAAAATATCAAATTTTCTTTTATAGAACAAATTAGCACAAATTATGCTCTTTCTATTTATGTACTTGTTTTTATTTTTCAATTATTTCTTGCTGTAGTCCTGCTGACTTCATATAAAGGTAGCAGCGCCACGATTTTTTTCAAAATGGCACGAGGTACAACATTTTTATTAATAGCACAAATTAGCACAAAATAAGTACTAAAAAATTTATTAGGTGCGTTTCGATTCTGCCAATTTGGTTCTGCCAGCTTCAAAGAGGTGGAAGGAAGTGCGTATACGCGCCGGCGTCTGTCTAATGCCTGCGACACGCGAGTCGATGCACTTTCCACGGACGCAGAAAAACGAGATGCGTCTAAACGACCGTGAGAAAGACTGAATTTTGCGGTGCATTGTGCATAATGTACCGTTGTTAGCAGCCGCGCTTCGCGTCCGTGCTCGGTCTGCGCGAAGGAGAGTGGAATGTCGCGTCGTGCATTGCGAGCGTCTGCGACCATTGTCGCGCGATTTGTAGGAAAAACTTCCAGTCTCTCCTTCTCTCTTCTCGTCTGCGACAAGATCAAAGGTAAGATAACGCCATGTGCGCGATCCGTAGGCGAGCGATATGACATCGGTGACTACTCCCCGTCGCCATCGTAATTAGTGTGATCGGCCATTTTAGGTATTCGCACGGAGGAAAGAATAGCCCGAATCAGCCTGAAAGTTCCTTTCGATCCGTCCTGTCCTCAGCTACTTGTTTTGTCGCTCGACTTTCTTTTTTAACAATTTATGGGTGACATTGGTGAATATCTAGCGCTTTTCTCTCTTTCGATTTTTAAGATGTACCGTCTACAGTTTAATGAAGATCAGTGTGACCTCACATTTTTCTGATGTATTGATACTTGCTTTATATGTTACCCGTGATTTGTACATCATAATGTTCATTTTTAATTATTTATAATCGAATAAAGTTGAAAAAAGTGATTTAAATAAAGAGCTTAATTTCTCTTGGAAAACATTTAAGATTAGAGACTGAAAATTTTACTAAATATTCTTCACGTCAATATACAGGGTGTCCAAAAAGTCCCGGACCGGTAAATATATAAAAAATAAGACATTTCAGAAAAAAATGTTTCATACAAGAATTGTATGGTTTCAAGAAGGATATAAAACAATTATATCATTTTGTTTGTAGCGGCACTTTCGAGACATTCACCGATCATTACTTTTCTTAAATGAAAATCCCAATTTTTTATTATATCATCTTTTTCTATCAATTAATTTCAACAACTTTTGTGTGAAACATTTTTTTACTTGCCTAACATTTTTTAAGATATTTAAGGAAAACTTAATTGAACTTTTTCAGTATTTAACTTACGATATCTCGCTAATTATTTGTCGGAAGAAAATGTGGTACTAGATTTTTTTACTCTATATTTCTATAAAAATATATTGTAACCTTAATCTTTGTTAATTTGATATTTTGAAATTTCCGGTTAACAGTTAGATTAACAAAAGTTAGGGCGCTATTGTAACAATATATTCTTGAGACCAAATACAAAGTAAAAAAGTTTAGTACTTCCAACAAATAGTTACCGAGAGTATCGTAAGCTTGAAAAGGTTACTAAATTTTCCTTAAATATTTCAAAAAAATGAAGCAAATGAAAAAATGTTCCCGACAAAAATTGTTTGTCAAATTAACATGAATTTATTTCTTTTTGACAGCCATATACGGATCTGTCATTTTGAATTTTTGAAATCTGACTTGAGAGATTTGTAATGAGCGATCTAAAAAAACATAGAGATACAAGATTTCACACAATTCCATCAGGTAAAAGAGAATGCGCCACAGAAAGAATTAATAAATAAATAACTGCTCGGTTAATCGACGATTATTTCTTTCGGATAACTTTCGACTTTTCCGATAATTTCGGACAAGACTTGTCAACTCTTAGGAATCTATTCTCAGGCGTATAAAAATTAATAATCGCAACTTGTTCTTGCATTGCACGAATCGCACCCGACTAATCCTAATCGTCGTCGTTCTATACTATAATTTCCCGTCAATAGCATTTCGGCGACATTCGCAAAAGACGACCGTCGTCGGCGAAGACGAGGAACATCGAAACAGATCTTCCGACTGACCCGACATGCCGCCGACATTTTCATACTAATAAGAAACATCATCGTACCGTTGTTTGGACATCTCGTTCGTGTAATCGCAGGTTGTCGCCGGGGAATAGCTCTTGGATGCGATGAAGGTCGCCCTCGAGCTGTCCCCGTTGGAGAACCTCCCCGCTACTGACGAAGTCGTTCTCAAGCAGGTTTCTCGCTTCCTGTCCCAGGTACCTCTCGTAATCGGCAAGCCTCTGAACCTGAGAATGAAAGAACGTATGTTTCAGACAGGGGAGCACTTGTTGCGCTACAGGAAGAAGCGCTGAGATTCGTAAGACGGGCCACGTAACGTATCGATCGCCCCGCCAGCTCGCGAGAAATCGTCGTCTTACGTCGTCGCGAGCGAGCGAGAAGCTCACTGAAGGGACACGGAAAATCGGCCGCTGTTCCGTGATCATTACGTCGAAACTACGGTGATTCGCGTAACCACGACGATTTTCGCGCTCAATACAGCGTTTCATCCGATGGGATGATGAAAGCGGGAAAGGAAAGCATCGCGACGCCGCGACGGCGGCGGCGATTCCCCTCGACGTATCGACGACTCATCGCGACATTACGCGCGCGCGATATTATCGCGTGTAACATCGCGACTGCGACTGCGAACGCGGAAGTAAGGAGGAAATGCCGACCGGATCGGGCGCGGCTCCGACGGTTATCCGCCGAGCTAAATTGCCGCGCTCGCGCGAACGTATTATCGTAATGGGAAATCAATTCCGCGCCGTCGAGTCGTAAGGTCCGCGAACCGAGCTGCCGTTGGTTCTTCGCGAGGAAATTATTGCCTCGTGATTTTTCAATAACGACCCGCGACTCGCCGAAGCGACGAAGCGACGAGCGCGCGCTCGACATTTCGCCGACAGCGTTGTTGTTCCCTCGCGATAATCACCGCGATTCATTCAGAGCGCTTTTAACGGTCATCAACCAAGCCGACCAGGCCAGCTAGGAAGTCAGCATGTTTCCCGGAGAGCAGTAAGTATCTGTCACGTTATGATAATTGAGGCGCAAATAGGCCATTCATCGAACGTGAACGCCGTCTCGTCTCGTCTTGTGTCGTTAGTTGGCCTGTCAGGATGATCGAATGTCCGATGAATTTGGCTCTAGTGACAGGCGATCTCGATTCGATTTTCAGAAAATCGATCTTTTCCTCGAAGAATCGATTTTTAGTTGATTCCTTTCTGTTCGATGGGTAAATGATGGGTCGTTGATACGTATTTACTAATCAATGTTGCTTGGTTTAATGAAGAATTCAACTGGAGTCAACTATTTTGAAAAAATCGATTTTGTCATAAAAATTGAACATAAAAGAATCCACTTCAAAGATCGATTTTTCGAGGAAAAGATCGATTTCTAAAAAATTGATTTTCTCAAATCGATTTTTTTCTGTTCGATTTTTCTGTTCGATGTCAAATCATACAAACGATTCATTGATACGTATTTAACAATCAATGTTGCTTCGTTTAATGAAGAATTTAACAGGAGTCAACTATTTAAAAAAAATCGATTTTTTTATAAAAAATCGAACAGAAAAGAATCCACTTAAAAAATCAATTTTTCGAGAAAAGGATCGATTTCCAGGAAATTGACCTTCTTTTATTCTTTTATTTTATTATTAAAATAAAAATTAAATTAAATTAAAAAAGTCAATTTTTCGAGAAAAGGATCGATTTCCAGAAAATTGATCTTAAATCGATTCCTCTCTATTCGATTTTTCTACAAATCGATTCTTTCGAATGTTGACTCGAGTTGAATTAAATGTTGATTGATGACAACATTGATGAATAAGTATAATAATAACTAAAATTCTAAATTTATTTCTCTATTGAAAAGGATCGGTTTATAGAAAAATCGAGTAAAAAAGGATTAATTAAAAAAATCGATTTTTGGAGAAGGAAGATCGATTTTATGAAAATCGAATTAAGATCGTCCATCATTAATTAGAACCTGAACTAAATCCCGTGAGATTGGACATTCATGGAATTACATTAAAAAAAGCTTACATTAAAGAAAAATTTTACATAAAAAAGAAGCAAGTCGTACGCAAATTTTCTGCAGTCAAAGTGAGCAAAGGTCGCATTGGATCAGCAATCTGCTGTAGAAATGTCTAATACAGTGGACCGATCTCAGCTCAATACGTCAGAAAGACACCGCTGCTTAGCAGTGACGTAACGTCAAATGCTAATAGCGCCCGGAGAAAGTTTGAGACATCCACGAAATGGAATACAGAAAAAGTCTTTCGAGACGGCTTCGTTGGCGACTCTTCGTATCATTCTTGTAATGTCTCATTAAATATGTGAGAACATCTTAATAGATTTCCGGTGTCGTTGATTCCGTTTCTTATGCCAAAACTGTGAAAGTCAAAATGACGGATTCAATATGGCGCCAAGAAACTATAAAAAATATTCTGACGCAAGTGAAAATTCTTCTGTATCTCATTTGAAAAAAAATCCTCTGATGTAATATTCAAAATGGCTGATCCTCTCAAAAATGCACAGTCGTCGAATTTCAACGAGAATCAACTTCTGCTGAGTTCTTCAAATCGCCGTGATTTCACGCGTCAAGCTTTTCGCCGCTTTCTTCAATCTGTTGATCCAATGTGCACCGGTGTGATAATATCGATAAGATAATACGGCACGTTACATTACGTAGCATAAACGCTGCAAAGAGAGACAGAGAGAAAGAAAACAAGAAAGAGAGAAAGAGAGAGAGAGCGAGAAGAATGAGGTTTCGTCTCCTCGCGTCTCATTCGCGGATACGTTAATAAGCGCGTTAAAGCCTCCACGAACGTGTGTTCTCTTGCGTTAAATGCCACCGTATGCGGCACATTCATTATCATCGTCGACGCATTTTCTCTTTTGCGAGCGATTTCCATACGGTTCGAGACTCGAGACTCGGCTCGGGCGACTTGTCCACCAAGTTATCGGCGTTGCGTTCTCGGATTCGCGCGCGAGTGTGTGTTGCGCGCACACGCTAGCGGAGAATTTAGCGTGCCGCCCTCGTCCCTCTCGGTCTGCCGGTTTTTTCCCCGTACCTTTTCCCATCCGCATTGTTCAAACCCGCCACGTGACGCGTACACGTACTTTTACACGCGTCATTCTTACCGCGCGCCGGCACCGTTCCCGGGCCCCTGTTCGCACACTTTCACCGTGTCGCGTCGATTATCACGTTCCTAGGAACGGCTCGAACGCACTGCTCACGCGGCAGGCCGTAATCAATCGCGGACGATCGGCCGATTCGACGTCGCTTCGATTCGCTTGAGAAAAAAAGAAAGAAAGCTCGGAAGCAACTCGTCTCATGAGAGCAAGACGACGAGTAATTTTTGTATCCTGGATTAATCTACCTAAGACCTGCTTATTAAATTTCTGTGCAGCTAGGTAGCTTTGGCAGATTATAGACATAAGGAATAGGAAAATAAATTTTACAACAATTTAATGATTTCCAGGTGATGCTTATAACTATCGTCAGGATATAAAGGATTAGTCGGAACCTTCTCTTTCAAGATCTTATCTGGAGATCAATGTTTGTCTAAGAAGGAAAAAATGGAACTGGCATAAAAAAATTGGTAAATATTCATATTAACTTTGATGCATCTTCAATGATCTTGACATTTGTTGCCACGATTGTGTTCCTGAATAACGTGCAAAAAGTTTCAGCCCCTCATCGCTCATCGTTTATTAAAAAGTTTTTAAAAGAACTTAAATGAAATGTAATTACGTAATTTTGAAACAATGTACAGGGTATTCGGGATCTTTTGGAAACGAAAAATTGTCAAAATTAATGAGGTCAAACTAAGAAGAAAAGTCAAATACTATTTTGCAAAAAATCGCAATAGTTATCAAGCTATTAATTACTAAAAAAACTACATCCAGAGGATCTCTTAATTGATAACTTAAAAATTTACTTACTTGCAAAATGATAAAGCACCTTTTTTGTTCAGAATGACCTAATACCTAATCTACAAGGACAGCTATTGTGCTTAGTGACAGGTTCAAAATTCAGGGTTCAAAGTTTAATATACTCATATCTATCTAGACACAATAGCCGTTATACATAATTGTAGGTTAGATCATTTTGAACAAAAAATCTTTACCATTTTGCAAATAAGTACACAGATTTTCAAGTTATCAATTAAGAGAGTCAATTAAGAGAAGCTTCTAAAGTTTCTGTGGTTATTTTCAATTCAATAATAACTATTGCGATTTTCACAAAATGGTACATGATTTTTCTTCTCAGTTTGATCTAATTAATCTTTACAATTTTCCGTTTTCAAAAGATTCCGAACACTTTGTACATATATATAAGAATATTGAGCTTGTATATTATCTTACTGCGGATCTTTATAATTAGTCTAAGAGAATTAATCAATTTTTCACAATTACGTCTACATCCACTAACAAACTATAGAATTAGTGAAAGTGAACAAATAAATTATTACGTATTTACATCGTTTAGCAAAAAGCCTTCCCACGTATATGCGCGGAAGAAGGACCGCCCCTTACACCCTCATCCCAAAGAAACCTAATCTATATTTATATTTCTGCAAAATACATTTCTTATCTATTATCTATTATTATACATCTAATCGTGTACTAGTTTTGTATACATGAAACACAATAAACTGTATTCTTCAGCATTGACAAATTATAAAAAATTGTAATATAGATTAAGATTTTTGGGAAAGGACGCTCGCCCCTCCATATCCCCTCGCATATATATGTGTACTGCTTGCAGTACACACAAGCATTATGCAGTTTCTTTTATCGATATTCTATCAATAAACAATATGACCTCGACAACATGTGTCAAGGTGAAGGCCATAGGAAGTGGGTCAGTTAACCAAACTGTTTATCGGAAAACTGATCTTCTGAAGAGGGAATAATACATAAGATAAAACGGAAACTACAGGAAACGGATTCTGGCCTAGAGTGAAAATTGATTCTCACCCTCCATGTAAACGGCGACGGATGGTAGTCGGTCGATCATCCGTCAAATTACTTTTCAATTGGGACGATTGAGATATGACGGTGACGGATATGAATATTCCAATACAAAAGCATTGGAGAATGTCTTGACGGAGGATCGACGGACTTCTGTCCGCCGCCGCCCAGCTGGACCCTGAGAATCAATCTTGGAACCTGTGTCATGCTCACTCACTCGCCGGATTCGTCGGGAGAGCGTATGATCGATCATTTAATTAGCCGTCCAA